GGGTGAGAGTGGCTTTGCCAAGCCATCTACTAGTGAGGGGCAGAACTCATGATGACTCTCAGCCCAGGGTTCCAGCCTGACAGGCTTCGAGGTGGGCCTCTCTCCCCAGTGTCACCCCCACCCCTAGCCTCTGTTTTGCTCCTCCAAGAAGTCCCCCCCCCCAAAGGCCTGCGAGTTCAATACTACTCAGGCCTTGCCAAGAATGTTCACCTCAGTATCAACAGAACTCCCGAGGGCTTAAGGATGCCAGGGGTGCATGTTTGGTTCCCATATTTAACCATTCCCTCACGCATTCCTAAATTCCTGCAGGATTTCCTGACTGCCTAGTGTGCCAGGCGTGGCGCTGGGTGCTACAGAGCTTAGATGAGCAAAACCAGCTCTTGGGCTCAGGGCTGTCTGGTGGGGGAGACAGCTCTGAGGAAAAGCAGTGACACAGCAGGTGCAACCTGCTCCAGGTGGGGGAACCAGTAGGGGGAAGTAGATAGGTCCCAGGTCGTCGGTCCTGTCTAGAATGCCTACTTGACTCCTTGTCACTTAAACCTTTGTTCTAATGCTACCAATTGGAGAGGCCTTCCTGAATATCCCCTCTATCTGAAGTCGTTCCCTTCCCCCCATCACTCTCTAGCACACGCGTCTGCATGTATCACCATCTGAAATTAGCGTCTTTAGTCATTGCCTGTCTCTCCCCACTCCCCACTAGGATGTGCACTCCACGAGGGCAGGTCCTTGTCCATCTCACTCGGGGCTGTTTACTCAGAGCCTAGAGTGGAGTGGCGCCTTGCATGTAGCCGGCACTCCATATATGAATGTTCACTGTACAAATGTTTCAATGTTTGAGACAGAGCAGCCCCTGATCTGGGCAAAAAGTAAAAGTGTTTGAATGTTTTCTGCAGCGAATCCCCCAGTGCACTAGGTCCTGGGCTGTGATCTTGTGGAGAGAAACGGCTGCAGAGGTAAGAATGCCAGGAAAGCAAATGGTCATTACTGGAGGAAGGCTTCTTGAGGCCAGCGCTGGGGGTGGAGACTGGAGTTCCCACCTAAAGGAGACATGATTGGGATAGGGCCTGAACCTGATGTGACCCTGAAAAGCTCGGCCTCTTCCTTCATTCTTCCCTGCCCCACCTCTCCTTCCCATTTGTTCAACACCTTCTCTGGCAAACACAAAAGATGAAGGGTGCTACAGAGGAAAAAGGTGTGCCAGTTTCATATCCTTTATCAGATAATCAAGTGACAATTTCCTTCTTGGGTGTGGGGCCCAGGAGATATTGGGGAAATGTTAAAGAAGTTTCAAAGATTGCCCTAGCTAGTTTGGCTCAGTGGATAGAGCATCGGCCCCTCACTAGTAGATGTGTTCGATTCTGATCAAGGGCATATGCCCAGGTTGCAGGCTTCATCTCCAGTAGGGGGTGTGCAGGAGGCAGCCAATCAATGATTCTCTCTCATCATTGATGTTTCTACCTCTCTCTCTCCCCTCCTTTCTGAAATAAATAAAAATATATTTAAAAAAAAAGAAGTTTCAAAGATTGTTGAAGAAACATAAGACAATCTGTATGTTTTCAGTTCTCTGTTTCTGTGTATGTTTGGGTTTCATGGCCATTGAAACATTTGTTCAAAGCCATGGTTGGCCAATTTCTAGCTGGGTAACCTTGGGTAAATTACCTAACCTTTCTGTGCTTTGGTTTCTTCCTTTTAGAAGAACTATAGTTCTTGGATTCAGCTGTGTATTAAAAAAGGAAAAGTGAGTTTTGAACAGTGGCAGTATTGCAGCCAATGAGGTTTATCTGAGGCACAATTATTGCTAATTGAAAAATAAAATAAAATAAGATAAAATAAAAAAGGAAAAGTGCCTGGCCTGTGTCACTCCGTGGTTGAGTGTTGACCCATGAACCAGGAGGCACATCCCCAGTAGGGGGCGTGCAGGAGGCAGCCAATTGATGATTCTCTCTCATTGATGTTTCTATGTCTATCTCCCTCTCCCTTCCTCTCTCTGAAGTCAATAAAATAAAATAAAATATTTTTTTAAAAAAGGAAAAGTATGCAAAGTTCCTAGACCAGAGTCTGGCATGCAGTGGTCACTCACTGGGGTAGTGGTCGCCTACCTCTTGGCCTGCTCTGTCTTTCCCTCGCCTAACTCACCATGCTCAGCTCTACCTCTGTGCCTTAGCTCCTGCAGCCATCTGTTACCCCCATGAAGTGGGGGTGTAATAAACTAATTTCCTAGGGTCTTAATCTCCTCAGGGATTCAAAGAGGCTTCCAGCATCTTGGAGGTAGTAACCAAGTGGCTGGTTTTGTAGCAGGGAGGGGATGAAGGAGGTGGCAAGGCAGGCTGGTGCTAAACAGATGGGGAGCTTGTGGGCAGGAAGGGCTCGGCCTTCTTGTTTGGCAATGACTGCCCCTCCCCTTTTTCTAACCCCCCTCAAATATAGCCTTTAAAAGGTTAACACGGAAGTATGTAATAAATGCAAGAACTCAGTCACCTTGTAAAAATGGAGCTGTTAGAGTTATAATTCCATTGTCCTTTGATCCCCCTCTCCTCCAATTTTACCTTGTTATCACTGTCATCCTTTTGCTGTTTTCATTTTGGTTACACTGCCCCTTTGTGACGTGTCCTCTTTAAGAATGCCCAGATGGTATCATCTGCAATGGCTGGGAAGATGCCGTCCAGCCCTGAGCCCCTCCTAATCAATCCTACACAGGACTAATGAACTTCTAGAAACCTTTCCAGAAGCTTTCATTGCACACTTTGTCCCTTCTCTGCAGTTTTACAAGTCAAGATTTACAAAGGCCTAATACATATACCAGGGGTCCTCAAACTTTTTAAACAGGGGGCCAGTTCACTGTCCCTCAGACCATTGGAGAGCCGGACTATAGTTAAAAAAAACAACTATGAACAAATTCCTATGCACACAGCGGCGGCAAAAACACCCGGCGGGCCGGATAAATGTTTTCAGCGGGCCGCATGTGGCCCGCGGGCCGTAGTTTGAGGACCCCTGACATATACTGTCCTGTCCTGTCCCTGCATTCCCTGTGATTGATGAAATAAACATTCAAACCTGTGGAGAATTTTTATCAGACTTTAATTGAGCCAAAACTAATGACAATTGCTGGGAAGCAAGATCTCAAATGCTCCAGAGAATGACATTTTTGCTTATGCATTTAAAATTAAGCAGGGAAGCAAGAAATATTACATAAGGGTAGGAGAAACCAAGGCGGGGATTGGATTACAGGGACGATTTTCAACCAGTGTGCCTTGGTACCCTGGTGTGCCGCAAGAATTTTTAAAATGTGCAATATCTGACTATTTAGTCAGGGGTACTGACCTCTTTCCCCTTAGAATCTAAGGTTCTCAACCTTCCTAATGCCGCAACCAACCCTTTAATACAGTTCCTCATGTTGTGGTGACCCCCAACCATAAAATTATTTTCGTTGCTACTTCATAACTGTAATTTTGCTACTGTTATGAATCGTAATGTAAATATCTGATATGCAGGATGTATTTTCATTGTTCGTGACCCACAGGTTGAGAACCACTGCCGGGGATGGTCAAATAAAAAAAAATGACAACAGCCAACACTACAATAACCGTAAGGTGTGAATGAATCAAAATTATACCCAGTTTTTTTTGTTAGATCAGCAAAAAATATATTTTTTTGGTGTGCTGCAGAATTTTATTAATTAGTTTATGTGTCATGAGATGAAAAAGGTTGAAAATTGCTACATTACAGGATAGTTAACAAGAATATGTGCTTTCCTTGCAGTTAAGCTTATTTTAAAGGTTTGTTAACCTAGATGCACAGGGGTATTAACCTAGGGAGGGAAGGAGGGAGAGAGTGAGATAGAGAGAGAGAGAGAGAGAGAGAGAGAGAGAGAGAGATGGATGGAGGGAGAGAGTTGAAAGAGACACATCCATTGGCTGCCTCCCACACATGTCCTGACTAGGCCCGGGTTTGAATCTGCAACCCAGCTACTTGCCCTTGGCCCTTGACCTTGAATCAAACTCGAGACCCTTTGGTGTGCAGGCTGAGGCTCTAACCACTGAACTACCAGCCAGGGCAGGAATTGGAGTTTATGATCAGATCACCCTGTAAGGTTACTTTGGGTAGAACCCCTTTTTGTCCACACCTGTCAATGGCCAATCTTGTCTCTATCACTAGAGTGTAAGCCCTCTGAGGCCAGGCCCTGTGGCCTGCACAGCGTCTATATGGCCATGGTCTCTCTGGCTCATTCAGAGCACACAATGGGAATGAGGTCAATAAACCCCCCCCCCCCTCCCCCCCCCCCCCCCCCCCCGCGCGTGAATAAGAATCCTGTCTTTGTCCATTTGAATAAGGGAGGCCCTTGAAGGTCTGCTGCTGGCCAGCACTCAGACCAGAGATTGAGGGCTTTTTTTGCTGGGGATGCTTGGCCCTCCCTATGAGAGGAGAGGGGTAGGTAGTTCAGTGGTCAGGGCCCAGGCACTGGATTCAGATCCTTGCTCAGCCTCTTACTATGTGTGATCATGAACCCCTTTGAGCTTTCTTCACCTATAAAATGCAGCAACACCAGTTCCTACCTCTAGGGCTTTTGTGAATCCATAAGGTTGTTTAGACTTTTATGGGGTTCTAGGTTCACATGGGTTTGGATATTGAATTAGGAAAGATAAAGGAGGAAGACTTGTCAGCAGCCCTGAAAATAACCTGGTGGAGGGATTTTACGTGTGTGAAAACTGCCCGGGGAGGGGAGGCGGTGGTATTACTAAACTTCACCTCTCACGAGTTAAAGGCTGCCACCCGTGTGTTCCCTTTGCCCCTCCCACCATCTATCCCTGAGTCCTCCCGAGTTTAATAGCAAATATTAGAATATGGTAGAAAAAGATCAATTGAAACGGTCACGGATGGAGCAGACACCCGTCACGGGGAGGTCCGGGCTGCAGCGCGCATATTTCCACGCCCACTCCCCCGCTGCGGGGCTGCTGATTGGCACGCGTGTCGTGACGTCACCCGGGGGTTTTAAGGACGAGTCCCGGGGACCGCGGGGCAGTGCGGGCGCTGGAGCCGGGCGGGGAGGTCGGCGTGACTGTTCGGGTGGCTGGCCCGGAGGGTCGCCGCGGGAGAGCCGTGGACGGAGGTAAAGGGGCTGAACGGGCCGTGCCGAGGCGGCCCCGACGCGGGGCCTGGGGAGCTGGAGTCCGCGATCAGAGGAAGGCTGGCCCCAGAGCGTAGCGGGGCGTGGGGGGAAGGGGTCTCCGTGTAAGGAGGGGTCGCTGTCAGCCGCCTGGGGACGTGGAGGGTGGGTGGGAGCGGGCCTCCATCTCCCGTCTCAGCGCCCTCACCCTAACTCTTAATTTGGGGGCGCTGTCCGACCTGCCCCTTCCCGCGAGGATTATCGCCTGGGGAGTAGGGGTTGCGGCGTCTGTTACGGCACCACTAGGGGAAGAAGAGGCGCTGGATCCGGGCCTCACCCCCCACTTCAGTGTCCCGGGACCGGGGGATTATCTAGGTCTCATCGCCCTCGTTAGCGCCCCAGGGAGAGGGGAGCGGCTTTGTTACACCTGCAGCTGCTTAAGAAAAGAAAAAAAAAAAAAGGAATTTTAACAAGGAAGCTGACTCAGGAAAAGATCAAGAAGTTGCACATCACATGTTCGTTAAACCTCTTCTCCTGTTTTCTCTCATGACCTTTCCTTGTTTAGATAACCCAGCCGTGGTCTCCGGAGCCTGCGATTGCAAGGCCACCTTTGCGCCTCTACTGTGAGCCCCAACACCCACACCTTGGCTGGAGCTCACCATGGGGAACCACTTGACAGAGATGGCGCCCACCCCCTCCTTCTTGCCCCATTTCCAGGCCCTGCACGTGGTGGTCATCGGGCTGGACTCAGCTGGAAAGACCTCCCTCCTTTACCGACTCAAGTTCAAGGAGTTTGTCCAGAGCGTCCCCACCAAAGGCTTCAACATGGAGAAGATCCGGGTGGCCCTGGGAGGGTCTCGCAGCATCACCTTCCAAGTGTGGGATGTGGGTGGGCAGGAGAAGCTGCGGCCACTGTGGCGCTCCTACACCCGCCGGACTGATGGGCTGGTGTTTGTGGTAGACGCTGCGGAGGCTGAGCGGCTGGAGGAGGCGAAGGTGGAGCTGCACCGCATCAGCCGGGCCTCTGACAACCAGGGTGTGCCCGTGTTGGTGCTGGCCAACAAGCAGGACCAGCCCGGGGCTCTGAGCTCTGCTGAGGTGGAGAAGAGGCTGGCAGTCCGAGAGCTGGCTGCTGCCACGCTCACCCACGTGCAGGCCTGCAGCGCTGTGGACGGGGTGGGGCTGCAGCCCGGCCTTGAGCGCCTGTATGAGATGATCCTCAAGAGGAAAAAAGCTGCCCGGGGAAGCAAGAAGAGACGGTGATCCCAGGCCGCCCCCTCCTCACCAGCAGGGGTCTTTATACTTGGACAGCCAGGCAGAGCCTGTGGCCCCTCCCTCAGCCCCAGGGTGCAGGACCTGCCCACCTAAATGAAGGACTGAGGCGTGCTGCTTTGGTGTGGTCCTGGGGAGGGGGATGTGAGATGGGTTGTCTACTCACACCTCCCCTATCCTCACCTCTAGACATGGGGCTGCAGAACTGAGGAGGCTTCAGTATAAACTGCAAATCTACCTCAACCTTGTTTCTTGTTTTTCTCTGGCTTTTTTATTAGATGTGTTTTAGGGCAAAGGAAAGTTACTTGGAGGATGCATTTGGTATGGGGTACTGTCTCCCCATCTCCCAACGGGGGAGTCCCCCCAGGCTGCTTTCCTAGCGATGCCAGTGTCTGTGTGAAAGTGCCAAGAACCTCTCCCCACATTTGTAGATCCACTGCCATTTTGTAAGCTATGTGTGTCCTCTGTATTAACTATTTTTTAGCATTTATAAGTTATTAAAGACTGATGATACTGTACGTCTAACCTTGGTCTGGCATTTTTTTCTCCTTTACCTAGTCCAACATTTCTATATGGGTGGGGTTTGGGGGCAGGGGTGGGGTTTGGGGGTGGGTGGTGAGAATAATTTATCTTGAAGTTGAATTTGCCAAGCAAGCACTTTTCTAAAAATTAGAGTTGAACTGCTCCCCCAAGCTATTGCCTAATCTGCAGATTTGTTTTTTTATTTGTTTTTTTGGGGGGGGTGTTCCTTCTTCTTTCTTTTACTTTCCTCCCCTACCCTCATCCTGTGGCTCTTCCTTGTCCCTGATACCATCTGGTCTTGAAGATTTAACTTCAAGAGTTGCTGGTCGGAGTCCGTTCCTAGGTTTTTACCCTTGGGGACACATCCTTAGGTCTATACAGTATAGGTAAATCCTCGAAGAGGCATTCTGTCCCATTCTCCCCTCTCCCCAGCATTCAGGTTCCTCTGGTTTCCCTCCCTTATCCCCCCTCCCTCGCCCTGGGGGGATGCTGTGAGAATGGAAAGTAATTCCTGGCCTAACGCCACCTCAGGGTGCTCAACCTGCTGACTGTGCTTACTTACTGGCAGCTATGGTAGCGGCTGGAGCTGGGGAAGCCTGGGCTGGATTGAGCCAGCCTGGCTCTGTGACTAAACCATTAGTCTCCTAGCTCTGGGGATGATAGCTATTCCCAGGAGAGGGGCAGTAGTAGCAGCTGTTCGTGCCTGCTGGGAGTGAGGACTGCTGGACACCCACCCCCAACCCTCTGGGAGAGGAGGGGGAAGGCCACGAATGTCAGCAGTGGTTGGAAGACTAAAATGCTAACATTGTGAGGCCTGAGTACCCTGGCCCTTCCTCACCAGCATCAGGGCCAGCTGTGTCTGAGATAACAGAACAAACAACCTCCTAATAGGTGAGAGTAGTGAGTAAAAACCCAGCACAGTTCTCTCCAGCCCCCAGCCCCCCAGTCACACTCCCAACCTTTGTGCTTGCATGGGGTCTCCAGAGCAGGCCCCTGCTCCACAATCAGAGAAAGGGACCTGGAGAGGGAGAGAAGGTGCTGGCAACCCTGCCCTGGAGGAGCCTTCCTAAGGAATTGCTTCTTCCCAGCCAGGCTAGCAGAAGCCAAGTTTTGTGCTGAGTCTGGCCGGTTTAGATGTGTTCCCTCCCCTCCCCACCCCCCATCCCCGTGGCTGGCAGCCCAGGGGTGAGTGTGCATTGATCTGGAAGGGTGCCCAGTGTGCATCAGAGCCGGGGCCTACTTGATAGAGCTGCTGGGCTGGTTCTGCTGGGGACACGTGCTACCTGGCCACCCTCTACCCATGCCTGTGATTCATGGCTCCCAGTCCTCACCACAGCCCTCTTCTGCAGCCCAGGAACAGGCTGGGGCAAACCTGGCTAGAAGATCTGTTCGGCCCAGCCGGCGTGGCTCACTCAGGGTTTGATTCCCGGTCAAGGGCACATGCCCAGGTTGCGGACTTGATCCCTCTTAGGGGGCGTGCAGGAGGCAGTTGATGAATGATTCTCTTTCATCATTGATGTTTCTATCTCTCCCTCTCCTTTCCTCTCTGAAGTCAATAAAAAAAAATACTTTAAAAAATCTGTTCTGCTGGGCAATCTTTCCTCCCTACTCCATTCCAAATTTGGCTCTTTTGTCTCGAAATCTCCAAGGACCTGTTTGTTTTTTAAAAAATATATTTTATTGATTTTTTACAGAGAGGAAGGGAGAAGGACAGAGAGTCAGAAACATCGATCAGCTGCCTCCTGCACACCCCCTCCCGGGGATGTGCCCGCAACCAAGGTACATGCCCTTGACTGGAATCGAACCTGGGACCCCTCAGTCTGCAGGCCGACACTCTATCCACTGAGCCAAACCAGCCAGGGCAAGGACATGTTTTCTCCAGTTCTGGTCACCTGGGGGACCGAGATCTCTGGATTTGGGAGAAGGATGTATGAATAGGTGCTCCCCCCCCCCCACCCACCCAGCAAAGGGGCCTCCAAGGTGCCAGCTTTTGGTTCTGGCTCTGCCCTCCCTCCCTATCTGGTTAGGACCATCTTCTCCCCCAGGGCAGGCTCTAGCCTGGGGCCATGGTCCACAGAAGACCAATGAATATGCCAACTCTTCCCCACAACTGCTTGGCCTGACCAGCTGGTGGGGGTGGTGCAAGTGAGAGTGAGATGGAGAAGCCAGTGGTTTTGAAGGGGTTGTGGGGAGAGGGCAGCACTGGGGAATTCTAATGAGAAAGCTACGTCTGGCTGGGTGTAGGTGGCGAGCTTTGGGAGAATCTTGCCTTGGTCCCTCCTGCCTAGGCATTCTTCCTGTTGAGCTTTTGGGCTAATGGTTTGGAGTGAGGATAGGCTCAGGGTGGGGTGGGTTGTTGGTCCCTTGTTTCAGCTTTGTTATTGAATAGACTTCCTTTGACACCCTGAGATGGATGCTGAGGGAGAGGCTCCTGAAGGCAGAGGATCTCTGGGGGCCAGGAATGATGGGTAGGGGCCGGCTGCCTGTGGGGTGAAGCTGAAGGAAACCAGTGGTTCCAGATTTGGGGTCCCCTTCTGAGCTGCCCTCCCCCACCTCACCTCGTACAAGTTGGGTTGTAAAATCCAGATGGCGGACATGTTCCCTGGGGACTCTGCCCTTCCCTGAGCCCCTCCTCATTCGGGCCAAGATGGCAGTGGTCCCCTTCCCATGCCCTCTTCAGTTCTCCTGTGCTGCACTTGCTTCAGGAAGAGAAAAGGCAAAGAGGGAGGAAACAAGGTCCCTAAGTCCCAGAGGGGGCATGACTTGCCCAAGGACACAGGACTCCTTAGTGGCACATCCAGATCCTTCCTCCCAGGCGGGCTCTTTGTGCTCCTGGCACAGACAACAGGAGCTAGGAGCTAAGCGGCATCTCAGCACTCTGACCTCCCCTTCCCTCCCTCCTTCCCCGCCTTGATTAGACTAAGGGCCGGCTTTCCGCTCCCGACTCCCCTTCCTGAGGAGTGGCCGTTTTATCTCTGAAGCCCAGTACAGCTCTGGCCTCAAATCTGGCCAGAAGTCCCCACCCTCCTTTCACACTGTCATTCCAAGTCCTTGTTGAGATGGACAACTTCACTGGGGCCTGGGAAGCCCTGAATTCCGCGGAAGCACTGAGGGTGCTCAGGACAGCCTGTTCTCCACCGCAGGCCGTTCTGGACGGAGGCCAGTGGGAGGAGGGCTGAATGAAGGCAGTAAGGGAGGCCCAGGCCAGCACTGGGCTAAGGGGTAAGCAGTCTGCAGCCACACATCATTTCCAAGGCCATCTGCTGGACCCCAGCCGGGCGGGGAGTTGGTGGGATGGTGTTTTAGGACCTGCTCCCTAGCTAAGCCAGAGGAGGGTGTTTTCCTTCCTTTTTCAATTTTTTTTTGGTTACTTTTCTCCCCCTCCCTCACCTGCTTACCAAAGTCATAGGTCTTTGTTGGGGAAGCAGTTTAGAAACTTTGAAAATGGATAACCCCATAATGTAAACTTCAGGGCTAGCTAAACATTTGAACAGGTTCTTACATAGAATTTTCCAGATTTTTTTTTTGCATAGACATAAAAGGTACGCATATACCACACACGTGGGATTATATGACATATTGTCATACAGTTTTGCTTTTCTCTTTTTAAAAACAATTTTTAAAATCCTCACTTGAGGATATGTTTGTTTATGTACTTAGTATTGATTTTAGAGAGTGGAAGGGAGAGAGAGGGAGAGAGAAAAACATCCATGTGAGAGAGAAACATTGCCAACCCAGGTTGAACCGAAAGCTAGGTATGAACTAGAACCTGCAACCTTTCTGGTGTACAGGACAATGTTCCAACCAACCCAGCCACCTGGCCAGGGCTCCCTCCCCCCCCCCCCCCCCAAACTATAAGAGAGAGTTTGTTAAGAAAGTCACAGAGGTAGAAGAAGTGAAGTGCAGAAGAAATGGGCTCAGGAAACAAGTTACAGAAAGAAGGGGCCCTTGGAGTTTAGGAGAGAAAAAGGCAACAGGCCTGGGGGGAGTGGAGGGGACAGGAACGGCGCCATGTGCTCCTGAGAGGGAGGCTGCTTTTCTCATTAATGTATCTTGGGCATTATTCAACGTCAGGACAAATGGATTTCCCTCGTTCTTTTTGATGACTACACGAGATTCCATTGTGTGAACGCGCCATCATTTATTAATTAAATCCAGAGTGTCCACGGTAATGAACTTCCTTGCACGTATTTCTTTGTACACTTGGGGGGAGAAATCCTTTCAGAGAAATTTCTAGAAGTGGAATGGTTGTCAAAGGGTATATGTATTTCAAGTTTTCACAGACAGTGCAAAGTGGGTGTTTGTGTAGAGAGCGTTTGGGCGGGAGAGAGAAATTTAATCCAGCCTCCACATCGCCAGATTTCAAGGCCTCTTCCAACGGAGGGGGCCTGTCGTGTGGGGTGGACATTCTAGCACTCTTGCTTTTGTGGAGGTAAGAAACAAAACCACCAGCAAGCTGGCAGAAGATCTGCAGGCCTGGGGAGTGAGCTTGGGCTGATTTTACTGGGCCTGGGGACTGAGCCCCACCCGGGGCTGCCTGGCTGCTGGCGGAGGTGGGCAGATGGCGAGGACTCCCAAGCACCGGGCT